GGAAGTGTGTTTTACATAAAACTAAATGCAAGGTAATTTTTGTTTTTTGAAACACTCAAGGTTGGAACTTGGGATTATTTTCTATGAACAGCATGGAGTCCGTCTGTCCTATGCAGAAGGAATATTGACTATAATTCCAAAGTCACTACCTGTATTTGAACAGAATATTGCAAGCTTTGTTTAGTATATACAAATCTGTTTTACAAAAACATTCAGATGTGTTGCAAAAGTATTTTTATTCAAGATATGTCTGTGAAGTGACTACATAAGTCCAGTTCAGTCTTTGACAATTGGAGTGCAAGGTGATGTTCGTGTGAAGAATAAAAATACTTTTGTCCATCGTATATTTTGCACATTATTTTTGTATAGACTCTAGAATCTCCAAAATGCATATCTACAATTACACAATCACATACTTTGTAGAATATTATTGTTATGGACACTCACTTGATTCTCTTATTCTGAATTAATTTCTATTAACTTCAGTTCTTATATCTCACCTGATGATGCCGGGTAAACCTGGTAAAACATTGTTTTGAATAAATAAGTTTTACATTTAACAACAGACCCTACCTTGTCTGAAACTTAAAAAATGTGTTCATTCTAATATGTAATTCCTGTTACTTTTCAAAGTGTAAATAGTTATTCAAGTAATCATGACACCCCTAAAATATATCTAGAAATAAAAAATTCAGAAATATATACACACACACACACATATATACCTATATACACATACACACATATATTTATAAAAGTCATGTACTGAAGTAAGGTTTGTTAATATTCAAAAAAAACTTTTATGCACTTCTTGCATTTTGTTATTTAACTTTTTTACCACACAGTACAATAACTTAGTCAACACCTAAAAGATACTAAACAAAACTGATAAAAACTCAGAAATATATACTTCATTTTGTAAAAGTGACTGTGATAGTTTAAAAAGTTTATATTTCTTAAACAGTAATAAAAAGAAATTTAAATCAAACGTTTTCACAAACAAAAAAAATTAACACTTGCTTCAAAGCTTTCAGCAAATTTTCTTGTTCTAGACAAAGCATCCTGATTTCCTCGTGAAGAGATGTTATTTCCAGGTCTTTTTCTCGTAATTTCTGTCTCAGCTTGTACACAGTTTCTTCTAAACTTTCACACAATGCCGTTACATGTCGATTGCTACCACAACAGCCAAGATATCAGCATGACAGACAGATGGCCTTTCGTCTTTATATTGTAGATTAATTGCATATGGCTTAAGAAATCTTATTACACTTGGGAGGACTTGAACTTTTCCTCATGAGGTCTGATTTTAAACATTGTGAGTAATAAACTTTACATTATAACACTTTTCATTGAACAAGGTAGCATTCATAACATAAATATTGAATAGTAGACTCAAAATGTCACACATGCCATCTTGACTAAGAAATGCAACATTATGATTAAAGCACGAAATGAATGAAACTCTTGTTCCAAGCAAGATCTTTCTGTCAAGAAATAAACAGCAGTAAAACAGATACTGGCTTGTATATAACAGATTGTTAAAACATTTGTTAAGAAAGTAGTGGACAATTTTTAATTTATGAAAAACTTGAGATATTTAAATATAACACACTCATTCAAAGACAGCTGAAATAATGCAAAAAACTTAAATGCCTTAATAAAGTATACTTCTCTATCTGTTTAAGAAACGTACTAAAGTGTGTTATAGTACGTTACAAGCTGAATACCCATCATACGACGGAAAATTATAGTTAATTTACTTCTCAAAATTATATCTAAATAAATATTCTATAAACAAGTTTTCAAAAAATTAATTATAATCTAATAACAATATATGTGTGGAGAATGACTATTGTATTTCTAGTGTTTCACAAAAACAACATTTGTATATATATTTGGTCATCTCTTTTAAGTATTGCTTGATTAGCATTTTGACTTCTGAATGTGCTACAGGTAAAACATGAGCTATTATAGAGTTGTAGCCAAGGGTTCCGATTGGACACAATTTAGTGATGTTGCGTCAATGTGTCTCCTTGAGAACCAAGCAAATGTAATGGGAAATTTCAGCCAATGAGTAAGATTCTTGTGCACCAGCAATATAAAGCATGGGGCACATGTATACCCAATTCAAATTTATTACTCATCACGATCTCTACCAACCTATTCTCTAATATATGGCTGGGAGAATTTTGAAAATACAAAGTTGCTTGTGATGGCAGAAAGTGCTGTCATTTCGTGCTAATATCATGTTTATCTGTTTAAGCATTTTATCTTGTTACTCAACTAGTAGAAATATTTCGGGAGAAAAATCTTTTCTATTTTGTTTGGAAATAAGTGCAAGTTATTTCTACAAGCTGAAACAAAGCTCAATCTTTTACCAAATAAACTATATATGAGTATTTTTATTTACTAAAGTAGTAGTAAATGTACACAGTAGTGTTGGGTTTAAAAAGCAATGCTATAATTGTATAAGGATGTGGGCCATCCCATTCACTATTTTGAGCCATAAGCATGAACTGTTCATCTGATGCTATGTGTTACTTTAAACTTCATTTCTATTTAATGTGGGCTTCACAGATTTTGCCACAAACCTCCACACTCAGTTCATATGGTAAAATTTAAAAAGTTGCCAAACTCGATTTATTTTTCTGATTGCTTATACATTTGAATTCAATCTCTGGGAGGTCCACCAGAATTCCTCTAGCAAGTTTCATTGAAATTGGTGAGCTTGTTTCTTGCAACTTGTGACACCAGGCAGACAAGTGGAAAACTCTATATGGATGTTATGTTAATCTGAACACTTAAAGGAGTGTAAAAACAACATCTCTTTAACTTCAATCCAACAATCTAGAGAACAAAGTAAAAAACAAAAAGTGTCCCACATAAAAGGTAAATGAAATAAAAAAAAAACACTTCATGGGAACAGTTAAAATGTAAACTTATTAAGAGAGGTACCTGTGGACTTATGACCCATTCAGTGTTAGGAATATGGTTCTGATTTAACCTGTATTTGCAAGCCTCATACGTAGGAGAAAAATAATTAAGAACACATATGGGTACTCAAGCTCGTAAATCTCACACTTAAGATAACCATTCACCTTCTTCAGTCATTTGTGTACAGCTAGTACTTTTAACAAAACAGAATTATAAAAATAAAATGGTCTACTATACCTGGATATTTATGGTAACAAGAAACACTTATCTCATGAAATTAGTGTTCCAGCTACCATATTGGTTGCATACTTGTATGATCATTGTAATAATATCCTTCGAAATTTAAAGAAACAGTAATTGTAAATTCATTTAACCAACCTTATTACTGCTGAGTGAAGGAAGTCCAGAAAATTGAAAATTAAAACATTACTTAATCTTTATGCAAAAATGTCATAATTTCTCAGTTACGTAAAATTTTGTGGAATTTGTAATAAAATACATGTTAGCTAGAAGCTGTGTTGTTCCTAGATTCTACAGTTTAAGGGACCCATGTCCACTTGTAACAAATCAAAAAGACAGTAGAAATTTTGAGGTCCACCTGTAAGACATGTTGCTTTTCATATTGGAAAGTATCACTGAGGGTGAACACTTATAGTTAATTAATTAAAAAGCATTGTTATAGTACTATTTTGCTAGTTACTTCTACATTAAATAAGTTTTTGTTACAATCATACAGCACCTCTTAAGTTTCTGAATAAATACCTCAAGTAATCCACTTGGATTTGGCATATTATACATTTATTATAAAGGTTATTTTTGAATTGTTTGCTAAGTGCATGTACTTAGGACTAACCTAAATCTCTTAAGCTAGTTTACAGCTGAAAATACATCATTGACAGCAAGGGTATCCAACTGATGAAACATTGCATTATAATCTTTATAAGTAAGAACATAAGAAAAGTATATTTCATTAGCCATGCTCATTACCAGGTTGATTTTTAGTTTTGCTCTAATTAGGTAGTTTGCTCTGATTGGAAGTTAATATGTAAATTAGCTGTATTTGTTAACCTGGAATGTTATTGATGGCTACATCACTAGCACATTGGTATTAATATTCTATGAAGTAATTTGTAGATTCTCTTGAGTTCTGTGATATTAGTACAGTAATTTTAGTGTTTTTTATTACTTGTCAGTAATATAAATCATGCTACAAATGCTCCTATCCATTATTTACTTTCTTTTATGCATAGACTTTCAATAATGAACAACACTGATAAATTTAGAAATTGTCATGCACACGGCCACAATCAGTGTAGCTGGCACCTCAGTTGCTCACCATCGAGGTAAGGCTTACCAATGCTATAGACAAATGGTTAGCTTCATTTTGGATCTAATAGAATTCCATGTTAGTGGCCTTATGATTGGTCAAAAGTGAATTGAATGTTTTTATGTTTATTACTTAAAGCATATGCACCAAAAAGACTCATTCGGTAAAATATAGGCCTACTTGTGAAAATTTGCATTTGACAACTTTGACAGGTCAAAAGGGCAGACTTGCCATTGAGTCTACAATCTACTGGTTTCAAGAGGACACACAGGATTCCCATACTCTCAGCACAACACTGTGAGAATACATGGGTATTTAAGATTACTCATCTAATTATGTGCACTTTTAAATGATATAATATTTAGGATGGTTGGTTGGGTAAACTTATATTGGTACTTTTTGAACTTAGAGGGAAATTTAATTTTTCATCTATTTAGTATTAAGCAATCTCTAACCTAGACAGTTTAGTTTTTATTATTATGGTTTTGGTATATGATCAATACGAGGGCTGAAATGCTAAATTCAGGAGATAAATATTAATTATCATTCGAAGTGGTTTAATTGTTTTAACCATTCATAATTTTATTTTTATAATCCTGCTTCATTAGAAGCAATTAGTTTCTCTTACAACTGCTAGCACAGAGTGAATGGTAGTTTTAGAAGTGGAATTCCATGGGCTTGAGCATCAATCCATGTTGTAATTTTCTAGTTTTTGTTATTCCATATCTGAGGTTTATGAATAGAAGTTGAATCTGATAAATGATATATCCCTACTGCAGTGTGGGTCCTACTTCCTCAGGTACATCCCTAACTACAGTATGCTACTCTTCCTTAAATGTTGTTTTATATTTGTTATATATGTCTTTTATGTGTAACACTTTATCTTTGGCCTTGTTATAGTGACATACATGTTTTCTGTTATA